TTTCCAGATAGCAGCCCTTTCATTTTTCTTTGACAAAGAAACATCAGAAACCAGAACCTGAACTTGTGTTTCACAAACCAGAAATTTTACAAAGAGTTCACATGGAATTTTATATCTGAGATACTAAAATACGTGTCTCTTTCTGCCTGATTTCCACAGCCACCACCAGCATGCTCTGGGCTTCCTTTTGCAGTAAGCTTCCTTTGCTGACCTGTGTCTCCAGCCTTGTTTCTGTTTACCCCAGGGTTCTCTCAGATGTTGTTGTTGTTGTTGTATGCCATCGAGTCACCTGCAATGACCCACAGTGACCCTATGTACAACAGCTCTGAAGCCTGCCCTATCCTGAGCCAGTCTCACTGACTCCAGCAAACCTACCTCCGTTGCCCCAGTTACCATACCAATCCATCTCATCCAGGGTCTTCCTCTCCTGTGCTGTCCCTCCACCCTTCTGAGCAAGATGAATTTTCTAAAGTATTTCTTTCAGTCTTTTCCTCCTCTGAACACAGTTCTGGGCTGCTCTGGAGTTCTGGTCCGTAGGAAGTTGTGCTTTTAACCCAAAGTGGCGCTTCTCTGTTGGCTCAAATCCACCAGCTGCAGCTTGGGAGAAGGACGTGCCATTTCCTCCCAGGCAGTCTGCAAACACTGGAGGCTCGGCTATGGCTCAGCTCCAACTCAGCAGCAGTGAGTCGGTTTTGGGTTGACTTCTTTTCCCAAAGCAGAGCCTGCGATGAGAATTCTGGAGGAAATGGTTTCTTTGGGAGGAAATTCCAGAGAGCGCTGTGAGGGGCTGGGGAAGTGGGAGGAAGTGTTAATGAAGTGAGAGTTCAGGAGCAGGGGCCCCCAGCGGAAGGCAGGGTGTCTAGGGCGCACAGGTCTGAGGTGAAGAGGTGGGGAGTCTGTTCTCCTCTTTGTGGTAGAACCGCTGCTCCGCTGCTCCACTGCTCGGGGGACGACTTCTAACCTTTCTCTGCTTGTGGCTAGAAAAAGCCCTGCCCCTTTCTGTGTCGATGCCTTTGCTCAAGCCATGTCCCCCAAGAGGACTGTCCTCTCCTCTCCACACTGTTTTATCCATCCTGAGAGCCACCTCTCTCAGAACTCCATCCTTCAGTGACAAGGTCCTTTAATTTTCGTCATTTGTGTCACCAGCAGGGAACCCTGCCCAGCCTTGAAGGTCTGCTTTTTTCATGGCTGTTGAGTTCACTTCCCAGGAGCGTTGGAGCCCTATAGATGCACAACTGGATACCACTGTGTCCCCCCAGCATCCCAAATGGACATGTCCTCAGCCCTGGCTTATAGTGACATGGGGGCTGGCTTCCTTTTAACCATAACAAGGACAGAGGTGGGGAGGCACCCAAGTCCACAGTGCCAGGGTCTTAGCTTGAAGATGGCTGTCAAGGCCTGAGGACAGATGGACAGCTCCACAGGCTACCCTGTGCTGCAGACAGGGACTGAGGTGCAAAGGGACACGCAGGAATGGCCTCTCTGCTTCCAGACTCCAGGACTGCCGGGAAGAGGAGAGGACAGACACTGGGGGGGGGTGGAGACAATGGGGAAAGTGTGGGT